ATTGCTCGAAGCTGGTTCAAGCTGTCGCTTACAGCCGAAAATCAAATGCATAACCATGATTTTGAAGAAACGGAGCTACAAACACTCGCTGGTCACCAGCAGGAGACAGTACTGTTTAAAGTCTGGTCAGATCAGATGTGTAACATTGCTGCATGGTTCTGCACTGGCTGGAACTTGTGCTGCTAATTACAGTGAACTCTCAAATACAAGCAAGGTTGGAGCTGGACTATGGCCAGACATAGCGCGGAATAGCTCGACACAAGGAACTTCCGAGTGCATCGTTTTTCGCAAAGCCCAAGAGGCGCAAAGGCTTCATGCCATTTGCAACTAAATCGGCAACCTATTGAACCCCTCAGAACTTCCTACTCGCTAACGAGGGAAGGACCACAATAAGTGGTGTCGAAGCAGGCGGGCGGCCACTATATGTGTGTGGGGGCGTGTGGTACGGGTTAGCAAATATTTGGACTGTACGCGGGTAAAAACAATACGAAACGTGTACTCTGACCTTAAGAAAACCCTTGAAGATGCAGAGAAGTCAAAATGCTCGGAATAGTGCAGATGAACGCAAACAAAGGAAGAGAGTAAAAGTAGTAGGGAGGAGGTTCAAGAAGAAGAGGAGGTAGTGAAGGATCGCTCAGATATCCAATTCGAAAGTGATCAATCGAATCGACAAACCGATCGTAACAGCTGCTCCTGCTTTTCCAACATTACAGAACGCTCATTTTCCAACTCTTGTACTCGCTGGTAAGTCGAAGAGTTGAAGTCCTGAAACGTAATTATTTTGAAATTTTAACACCAAAAGAAGTGAAAAATGAAGGAATTTCTATTTCGACTAGGTATGGCCTGAAGGTTTCTGCGACCTAGGTTTACATCTCGAGAGAGCCACATCACAGGAGGAAAAGGGTTACAAGGCTTCTGTCAACCAAAGGGTGAGAGCGTAGCTGGAAAAGCACACACTTTGTGTCTTATTGGGACTAAGCCTTTTGAAGGAGATAAAGAAAGAGGAGATGCTGTGATAGTGTGCACTTGTGAGAGCTCCCAGACATCACTACAAAACGCTGAACCGCCAAGCCTCACGGTTGACAGAAGTCCTGAGACCGGGGAAAAGATGGGTACTCTACTGTTACCGAAGTGAAGCGTACCCGCGATTGGTCACGCCATTACGAAAGTTTATTCCACCACACGAGGATCTCTTGGTGATAGGAAATCACGGCTATTGACGATAAAAGTAAAACATTGTTCTTAACTGTCCCGCGTGCAGAGCAAATCAATAAATAGCCCTTGATACAATTAGCACCAGTTCATTCCTAGCACAGCGTCCAATTTAGACCTATGTCTTTGTCACAAGTTTTTGTTTCAAGGGCGGTACGAAAAAAGTATTTCATTTATGAACAAGCGAAACGAAGAAAAAATCCACTCGAAATCCACCTGACTCGGTTGCATCTGAGCGTACGCGTGCGGCGGTTGATGCATGATTTGTGGCTGTGGAGGGAAGTAGGCTTGTTGAGGTTGTTGTTGCTGTAACTACAAACAAATCAGATCAAGATTGATGTTCAAACTAAGTTGAATTAATTGAACGGTAACTTGTAGCCAACTTTCCAAAGTTTGAGAGTAATTCGAGAGTTAGTAATGAGGCGCCTAATGACACAAACGATATTTTGAAGATTTCTAATAACAGAATTCTTTAATTTTTTTCTTGTCACAGCGGTTGCTCATGAATGATTGCCGAACTGTCTAAAAATGAAAAAAGAAGCAAGGAAAACCGCCGAAGAAGTCCAAATCGAAAGTTCCGCTTGAAAAAGGGGGGCGGGGCCAGACGAGTTGTACGAACTTGCCTGCTCCACGGCTCAACTAACCCGCGCGTATTTGAATTAGCCGCTACGCCGTAATCCACGTTGCGTGTCATGGGGTGTGCGCGACGTAACTCGTCCAAATGCTAAGATTAGTCGCCAAATGCTGACTTTGTAAGACCCTAGCGCCATTGTCGCGCACTTTCGAGCCGCGACAACGGCACATCTGTGCTACTCGTGGCTACTCTATCCCCCACTGAACAGATTCTTCGACAGACTTCTTCTGGAGGTGTTGCTTAAAAGTTGTGCACAGTCACGTTAGCAATATCACGTAGAAAGTAATGAAACGATGAAAAAAGCTACAAGTGGGTCCACAAATAGCAGCAAAAAAGCGAACGTAGCATGGATTGAACATTTTGTTATTTATGAATCTATTCAGACATTTTGTTATTTTACAGAAATCGGAAAGCTTTTAGCAACGATTTTTAATATTAACCTGCATCACGTTGTGTTGATGGAACTGTTGTTGTTGTTGCTGTTGTTGACATGCATGACGTTGACGAATTCCCTCCTCTTGCATGTGCTCAGCTGAATAGGCAACATTTCTAACTATTCACTACTTGCTGTAACCTTGGCCGACCAATCTGATTCTACAGTATGTGTAGGACCGGAAATGACTCAGCAAGAATTGCGGAAGCATAGCGGAAAACGGAGATCGAAAGTCATGCTCATTGCTTGCTTAGCAAGTTGAACTGGACTATTAAAGCAATGGAGCATAAAAAATTTGGATGGCTTCAAAATGGAAGTGGTGATGTGATTTGGAAAGCCAGTTGCAAAAATGCAGAAAAACCGTCAACCCTCGAGGTGGGACCCTCATTTTCCGTTAATTTTGGACAAGTTCACAGCATAGAAGTGGCTATTTGGGTGAGAACCACCCGACAGACTTCCGGAAACAACAAGATTACGGCCGTTGGGCATAAAACGAGCTTTCAAAAAAATCGAAGGATAACCATAGCGATATTGTGAATTCCACTTGTGGCGAGCCGGTTTTGACGCGTAGCGTTCTATAGGTATGCAGCCTAAGGCCGGTGTCAGAATTAGCGACAAAGCCTGACACCTGCCTAACTGCGCCGCAGCTAGGGCGCCTTCAACTGCGAAAACGGTATCTTGTGCTTCCTTCGACGCCTGATCAGTGCAGCAAGTGGCTCACACACTTGTCTGGTGAACACCCACTGCCTTTGGAGGAGAATTTCATGAAACATTGGATGCAAAGGAAGGGAACCTAGTACAAGACGGAGGGTTTAAGTAAGCGAGTAGATACATGTATCGCGGCGAACGGCGCGTCCATCGCCACGTAGCTAACCCTAACCCTGGCAAGCGCCACCTACCGTGCCGCGGTCCGCCTCCTGCTGCAGGCTCCAGCTGTAATTGGTTGAAGGTGAGAATCGCCGGCTGCGAGAGTAGAGAGGTCAGAATAGGACGATCAAATCGATGACATGATCTAACGTGAATCTCGCCCAGGACGGAAATCAAAAGGGATCACGGGTCTCAAACGGCTTTCTCTTTACGGGTTTTAAGCCGTCTTCTCGGAGTTCTCTTGACCGATGTCATCTCTATCACCTTCACTTTTACCTCCAATGAGCAACTATATTCAGCACCTGCCTCCGAGGGTTGATAGATTTGCTTCTGCATTAAAACTTTATTGAAAAAAAATGTTATAAACCATGGAACTCACGTATTCGTGGATCGTACCAAGTTGTTGTCTGTGTGTTGTGATCAACAAAATATCGATTACCGACTTCATCTAGTTTCATTTCCCAATTAGGCGGCAAAGGTCCAAGTGCACTCATTTTATCACCCAACTAAATGTGCATAATACATTTTGACACTAAAAACTGCAGGGACGGAAGTTCTTTTCTCTCTCACTCGACCGACCTGAGAGCCTGGATCATGCATTCCAACAATCATCGGATCAAGCGAATGACTCTTCCCACGAGGATCGAACAGTGAAGATGGAACGGATCTGAAATTATTCTGCTGCTTCCACCGGAAAGATATAAAAAACAAAATCATAACAAACAAAAAACTCATAAAAACTAATTGTGAGCCATGTTGAAAGCTCACGGAGGATGACAGAACTGTCCTTCTATGCGCGCAAAATCAATGCCTATCCCTATGCGTTACGCTGATGGGATGCGGCTTCAGACTAACCATAATCGAAAACCTAATAACATTTTCATGAAGTTTAGCAGTGCTATCATCAGATTTTATAGAGGCGATAATTTAAGTATAAAAGTAGTTGAATGTTTTCGTACTCATGGAATGAGGGTTGAGTTCCGAACGATGCATTATAGTTGGCTTCATGCGAAACGGATCGATTGTGCTGTGGTACTCTGAAAATCAGAACTTGAGACTTAATTTATCGACTAATTTTTACATAAACATTTAGAATCAAAATTCAGGAAATTAGTTGCTGAACTGACGTGAACGCTGGATCCGGCATTGGTGGGATGGCTGACACGGATTTGGAGTGATGGTGGGTGATCACTTGTGGAACGGCTACTGGTCTAAACATGCATGAGATTTTTTTCCAGACTGCTACCTTGTTTTAGCGTTTTCAATAGCACGACTCAATTGCTACAAGGACTCAGAACTGAGGAACTACCTTTTTGTATACTGTCACTCAAAACGCAATTTTGAACTGCCATTATGCACCGGAACTTTGAACTTCGAGTATTTGTAACAGTAATCAACTGTAGCGGCCCATTTATGGTAGAAGCGGTCAAAAACGATCCACGATGTAGTTTTTCAAACATTGTTTTTTCCCCGTTTAGACAATTCGCTCCAGATACTGCTACTTGTTATACTCTTTGGTATTTCCCTAATTCTTGTGAAGTTATGTATTCGAGAGCAACAAAAATATTCAGTTCTTTTTTTTTGAGGAAAAAAATGTTCCACAACAACAGTACAATTTTCAAACGAACATTTCAATCGCTACTGCATGTGCGCCGCTGCAGTTGAATACTTATTTATCCATTCATTTACTTACTTACTTGTTCATTCGCTTACCCCTCAAAAATGAATAAAGCACACGGCGCCCTTCTTGAATGCGCCAAGCATTCTACTTCAATGCAAAATCGCAATGCTTGGATGCGATTTTGCCTATACAATGACTACCGTCGCTAATTCATTCACAGCTGAGTTTTTTTTCACAGACTAGTCTTGTAAAAATCAACCTACTCCAAAGGGATGCAACCAAGAAAGGAAAAAACCTTTACAAGCGAAATAATTAAAGCTGAATTAAGAGAACTAAGAATTAAGGCTGGATTAGCCTGAACAGCGCGCGATCCAGGATCTGATCCCCGGACCGCGGGTGTGATATACGGCACACCTTTCGCTACATTACTTTCATTCATGAATTCATTTCTTTTCTTTATCATTCATTTATTTGGGTACTCTTCCATCCAGTTAATAAGGTTATGCAGGTCACGTCAGAAAAAAGTCACTGTGAAGAGAATTTGCTCGGAAGAATGTTACCAAACAGCAGCTTGCAGTCGTCTTAACGCGACTGGTCACTTTGCTAATTACTCCTTATTCGTGAAAATTATCCTAGCGCTATTGCTTTTACTAAACGTTGAACCAGCGTGACGCAAGGCATACGGTGCGATAAAATAGGTGAACAGAAAAAGTAGATATTCGTACTTATTTATCCAATCAGGTCTAAGTCATTTTTAAGTTCATTATATAGCATAGTGATAACGGAAATCACTCAAATGAGCAGTAGCATGCATAAACGAGATCAAAATAGGAAGTGAGGTCTGTAGGATTTACTAAGCCTTCATGAGTTCAAAGTCAGTGATCACGATGGCTGCAAGGCGGTGCAGTTTCATGACGTCACTGAATATCATTGGTGGACGGGACCAGGGTTAACCGGTCGTTAGACAAAGTCTAACGAGGGGTGTCGTATTCGATCGATGAAAAAGGGGGGGATCGCGGTGTGACACCTTACGCTTTGTGAATGTTAAGAAAAAAAATTGCCGTTTCACTGTTGATATATACCCCGCTCGACGGCTATTTTGGAGGAAATGTGGGTGGAGTTGGGCTGTGTCAACTGGTCTCAGAATCAAATACTATAGTAACAGCTCTGATGGTAAGGGTGGTGGTCGTTATTGGTGGACCTCCTGAGTCTCATGGTGGTGGAGGGGGTCGTGAAAAATTTCCAAAAAGTACCAACGGTAGGGTTGACCCTGGGGGGGGGGTCGTATCGAGGCCCTCCAGAAGAGGGGGTCGTAAAATTTCTGAAATTTGTCCGACGTACTGTTGACCCGGGACTCTTCATCAGGTTGCAAGTGTGGCTGGGATCGCCTCATAAAGCCTTTCTAAATACATTCAATGACTTGATCAAAACCGCCACACCCCCAGTCATCGCAGTCGCTGCTTTCAAGCGCCTCTTTCACTAGGCAAGTGCACAAACTTCGGGAAGTAAGCCGTTTGATTTGCTCAATTCGTAGCAGCGGTATGCTCCCGGCCGTTTTACGGCTTTCCTAGCGGCGCTGTCGGCGCGGCACGCCCACCGAGTGGCTAACCACTCTCTGCAGGTCTCTATCCGTTTAGAAGAGAGAGGGTCGGCGCTGAAGAGAGTCGCACTAAAGCGGAAGTCAAATGGCAAGAATGGGGTCATATTTCAAGGGTTCTGGACCGCTCTCACGGTTTTTTCTTCATCCCAGCATCACTGACCACTTCTACTTTGATTCTAACTGGATGCCTTCTAGTGGTAAACCTCGCTTATAAAATCCGTTAATTCCTAAATTTCAACGTCTACGTAGAGATCTCGCTGATTGCTCACTATCGTGGGCTGTTCCACACTTATTACTTTTTTACAGAGTTTCTGTTTCCGGAACATACAGATTATGCCTGCCTTATTTCCGTTTTGAAAGTGGCCTGTACATGTTTTTGAGGATCGGAATGTGGAATTCCAATCATTCCTGCAACTCACCGTGTCACGAGTAATAAGAAAGGAGAGATGTTGACAAGCTACTCATATTTCAACACACTGTTCTATTTTGCTATTTAAGTACTTACTACACAACTATTGCCTTGATCGCTACTTATACCCATTCTAAGTATATTACTGACCAATTCAGATTTTCAATTCTCTTTTTCTGCTGATCAATATGACAAAGTTCAAGGAGAGCTCCGATATGTTCAGTGTTTGTTTTTGTTTGAGGTTCACATTTGGTAAGCGCTCTAATTGATAATCAGACCAATGCCGTAATTGCGATATTCTTCAAAATATTAGGCGCATTTACTTACCGATTATACAAGTCTAGATGATGTGTATCGAGTTCTGGTGCGCTGGCTTGCTTTTTATGAAACGGCGTCGAAACCTGCAATAGATGATAAACAGCTGTTCGTGGAACAACGACGACGCAAAAGCTGAATTTATCACTACTTTTCTCTCTTTTTTTTCTTTAAAGATCGATGAGGGGCAAGAGAGACAAGCACCACCACCGGAATTGCTTGCGCAGAACTTAAGGACGAACGCAACTTTTTCCGTGATGGTACTGCGAGTAAGGACAACCTGCATGAACTTTAACCGTACACAGAAAGAACTACTGCAGTACAGTACCGAATGCAAAGCAAAAGAAACCGTTGGAAGGGCACAGAGATGTCATCAGGTTTAGTTACTTTATTCATCTCGTCCCTAACTTTTGCACATCAGTCGTGGTGGCATATGCGGTGACTGATCAATACAACACATGTAACATCTGCGCTTATCAATACTCAGAACTACATACAAATTGTATTTGGTACACAGTTCAATGTTACTGTTGCCACGCTATGTGAAAATGTAGTTCTCCTTCAGTGGTATGAGAACTAGTATCGAAAAACAACGAACGAATAGCCACTCGAGGTACCATCCAATCCCCGCAAGCGGGGGTGTGCTATGGTTGAGGCAAGACTGTCGCATGCGATCCGATAACCTTTCTTTTCAAATCACGACGGTTTAACTAATTTCCCTAATATCCGCTTGTATGGTTGCAAACGGCTATCTATAAGGAGTAACCGCGAAAGGTTTTTTTTTTATAAAAAATGAGCTTTTCTTAGGAAAATTGATCTTCTCACGGACAATTCTCATTGCTATGTTTTACATGACTGCACAAAACAATACATGGATCATAGTACAAACTGGTCTTACGAGTTTATCTTGCAATGCAAAAAGCCCAATTTATTCTACAGGTCAGCCAAGAGACAAGGTTCAAAAAATCAACTGACTTATCCCATCCCACATCCCAAATAACCCAGACCAATGCCCTTGGATATAAACCCCTTAACACCGTGATATTTCACCTTCTCTCAACGATTTCTATCTTATTGGAGTGGAACCGCACATTCGATTTGACATTTTAAAGGAATCGGCACTTTCAAAGACACAGCGGAGTTCATTTTAGGAAGCCTGCGGCCATTGTTCAACCGCGGAAAAACTTGGCCAAGTCAAGAGCGCTCTATATACTATTGCGAAAATTGCGGCGAATTTATGAGGGACACCAAGGTGACTTCCAGTGTGAAAAAAAAACTATTTCAGCCATATTGTTGTAAATTTAACGTTGTCAAAATAACATCCAAATACGTGGCTAAGAATGGTGTAAATCCCACGTATAAACTGTGAAATAGGGCTTATATGAAAATACAAGCTCTTTATCCTGAGAGTTTTGGTCGTCTACTTTTGTATCAGACACCTAACTGAAATGTAACCTGAAC